TCCATATCCCAATTCCTTCATGCTACCCTGTAAGTTTTTGTCTCCATCGTTATTCAAGTTATTTAACTCACCATGCTGCTGCCATGTTCCTGTCTGCACCTGGCTCCTCTTCAAACCCAAAATTTTAACATTACACTTATGCCCTGATTGTTTTGTAGTGCTCTTAGTTCCCTCTTTCAGTAATTATTAAATTATTGTACATTACGACCCTTTCTAAATTTTTCACATTTGTCGCTTCCTTTCCAAGAACTTCATATTTTTTTGTGTTTTACATGACAAACCATCACAAAGAAAAGATGTTGGGAAGTACAAGGGAAATCATGCATGAACTCAAACCTTTTAGAAATACAGTTGTAAAAAGTGTGGTATACATCGCTATTAAACCACTCTGAATCCATTATTTATACTCTACTACACTAGAAATACAAGCAAAGACATTTTTACAACTATTTCTACTACTATTACTGCTTGATATATAAATATAATTTATAAATCAAGCAGTAATTATATAAAACAACAGCAGATGCGAGAAAGTGTTTTACAAACACTAATAAACTTTCCAAAATATGGAAAAGCAAAAGATTACAGTAAAAACATGTAAAGGAATAAAAAAGGATAGTAATCGGCCATTCTAGAATGCAACAATAGAGCTGGGTAATATGGGTTGAAAATCTAATATCCATTCCCCCCCCCACTAAATTAGATTAATCAGGGTTTCATATTAAAAATGACTAATGAAAAACAGACTTTCAAAAACAAGCTTTTATGTCAATAATCCCCTTGTGGAGGTGACCTCTAAGGAAGGTAAACATCTAAGAACAAAAAGGTGATGAAGAGATTTCACCATAAGCTATGGAAGCCCAAGAACTGCATAGGTGGGAAAAAAATCCAGATTTTCCAAATAAATAAATCGTCATAAATTGAATATATAAAATTATATTTGATATTAGATTTTATTGATTAATTTCACAGCCCTTGGCAATGGCAAATAATCCATAACTTTATTGTGGCAATAGTAAAAACTTTATCTCCTCTGAGCTTAAATTTATAGCTCAGCACATCCAAGAGCAGCTGATGAGCTGACCTGAGCAAACAAGCAGGAAAGTACGTAAAAGAGCTCAGTGAGTTACAGTGGAGCAAGACCATGTGAGCTTTTAAAAGCATATTAAAGAATCTTAAAATGAACACATAAATGCACGAGAAGCTATTGAAGGGAAGCTAGTTTAAGAGTGATGCGCTCCCACTTCCTAACTCAGATAAAAAGCGAGCAGCAAGTTTCTGAACCAAATGGAAACGCTTGAGAGAGGACTGCCTGAGTAAGATGTAGAGAGCATTACAGTAATCAAGTCAAGTGGCAAAAATGCAATTACTGCTTCAAATTGCTGATTTAAAAAAATCTGCTTTATCCTTGCTAGCTGGACTTTACCACTATCTATTTTAAAGCCCAAATTAGCAGCGGTTTGCTTCAAGTGAGGTGCCAAGAGGCCGAAATAAACAGGTGATGGTTCATAGGAACTGAAGGGACAAAATATCATGACCTTTCTTCTCTTGTCATTTAGAGTTAAAACCTATCGATGCTTTTCTTCTTAAAGGCACAGTGATATGTGCTTAATCAAAAAGGCTCCTTTTTCTTATTGACATGTTCTGTTTATCTAACTGTCAGTTAAAACAGAAGGAGATCCCATGTTTTATGAGCATTGACCCTAGAGGAAGCAAGTGAAGAGAAAAAAAAAAGCAGGGTAGCGAGGACTGAGCCCTGTGGAACCTTGTAAATTAGTTAGTTTACAGAGATGCTGCTGTTTGACATATAAGACCTAAACCTTTTAATGTAGCACAAATAAAAACCAAGGTGGGTCTGTAAATGAGGTAATAGAAATATTATGGTCTACAGTAGCAAAAGCAGCGGTTAGTTCAAGAAAAACCAGAACTACATAATCACAGTCATTTACCCTGAATATGCCACTAAGATGTCTCAATACAACAGGCTCTGTATAGTAATACATTGTAAAACATGGCTGAAAAACATTTCTTGATCTTTACATGTTCATCTAAAAAAGACTTGACGTGGGAAAGGAGAACTTTTTCTAAAACAGAAATAAAAGGTGGCTTTGAATAAGCCTGAAGTTTGCTAAGACAGATGCTTGCAACGAACAGGGACAACACAATAAACTGCTGTTTATAATAGCAAAGATGAGCCGTCCAATGCAGAGGAAAGCCTCTTTAAGATATGGAGAAGGAGCAGGATCATAGGGAGAACCTGATCATTAAGATGTTCAATATCCAATATCCAACAAAATCATAAAAATGTCAAATTTTTTGCACATTATTCTCTGTAACATAGTTCAAACTTAGTCAAATTGTTGGGGGAGCATCTGTGAAGAGTCATCTTCAATGTGGAACCAGATTGTAAAGTTCATAGATTTGGACTTTGACTGGATTTTTCTTACATTTTATGTGAACAGCTGCATATTTAGAATAATTTTCCTGCTGTAGGATGGACCTAGCCTGGGTGCCATTCCGAACTTAGTCCCGCCCACAACGTTTGAGGTCGGAAAGTTCGGTCTGGCAT